CCCCTTCCCGACCTCAGATCGCCCGTAAATTATTTTTCCTTTCATTTCTGTTATATTCTCTTTCTTTTCCAATGGGTTTCATCCTACTATAATTTTTTTTGGTTTCAAAAATTATCGACCCAGGTCTATAATGCCATAAAAAAATATAGGTTTCCATTTAAAAAAATTAAGTTGGTACCTGCCCAGGAAAAACTGAACACCCTGTACATGCAAATATATTTTCATTTTGCGCAGCTCGGGAAAGGAGGAAACTCTTTAGAAAAAAAAATTAAGTTATGTCTTTTATTAACCTAGATATTGGACTTACGCGCACTAGGTGGGCATGGTGTATATTGAAAAACTGTTTTCATTCTCAGTTACATTTAATTATTAAATTTAAAATAAGTGTAAAATCAGATGTCTAAGCAAAAAATAAAACGTGGAGAAGTGATTTAAAAAACACTCACACTCAAAATCTACTGTGATACACTCTGTATATGTTTTTTAAATAATGCTTAGGCGTTTTTGCAACAGCAAGCCCTTGAAATAATATAAGCCCAATCTATTTGACAATCTCTTTTTTATTAAGCAAACAATATTTCAAGTAATGGAATTGATTATAAATCTCGGCAAATACTTCAAGTTCCAAACGAACCTATTTCTAGCTACCAAAAAAAATAAGTGCCTGCCTCATTACGTTTCCTTACGTTCCAAAGTTCTAAATCTTTGGACGCGTTTTTGAACTGTGCTCTCGAAAAGGCGTAACTCCATTGAAGTGTTTGTCCACGTAGGTATTTGCACCGGCCAAATATTTGCTGCTTGGCTTTAGATACGTGACTCCATAAATTATTTGTTTACAATAATGCAATAAATGAAACAGCAAATTATAAAATTGCTTTACAATTAATAAATTCTGACGATAAAGAGATAAAATTTATTTTAAACATGTAAAGTGTAGTACCCGAATGCTACTGCACGTTTTTATAGATTTTTACACTTAAGAGATGGATGTAAAATGTACCGGGAGGTTCCAAAAGGCAACACTACCAGGCGGAACAGAATTAAATACAGAACAACGTTTCATAACCTCACTTTTAGTGGATGCGCAGATGTCAGATAGAAATCAACGCTGCCGGAAACGCCTCTCCAGGCAATTGTTTATTTTTCACAGCGTGCTCTTCGATTTGCTCTCATATTCTATGAAAAATAGTTTTTAGTACCAAGAGAGTAACAAGTCGTTAATTTTTTTTATATATCCCGGATTAATACGATAAAGTTTTATTATCCATGTACTATAGCCTTTGGATTTCGAAGTTGGCGATAAAATTTTCGGTGTTGTAAACCGCTTTGGTGATACTGGATAAGGGACTATTAAGTTCTTAACTTTTATTGCTTTGTTTTGGGAAAAAAACTGTAATCGTAAACTTTGTATATATGTTACGATAATTTATACAGAATATTATTATGTACTATTATTATTGTCGATTGCTGTTCTTCTGTTGAGGTCTTTCTAACGGTTAGAAATATACAGGGTGTTCCATCGAAGAAACCTTGATTTTTTCATCAACGTAAACAAGCTTCCTACGTTGGTATCCATCATTATTTTAAAGAATAAAGAAAAAGTATATACAGGGTGTCTCAACAAACTCGATAGTATGGGCCAGCTATGACGATACAAAAAAAATTAAATAAAATTGTAAAACTTCCATATGTAGTTACATTCTTCATTTAATTTAATTTAAAAAACATTGCTATACAGAAATATAAATAAATATTCTTCAACTTTGTTGATTTTCGTTATATTCTTGCCATGTAATGAATATTTTCGAATAAAATCTGATTTTTTTATGATACATCATCAAAAATCGGCTATATGAAATATGGTTCTTCTTTGTGTATCAGATACCGGCAAGAAGCATATTAATTTGTGTTTATCCTAGTTTTTGTGTATAATTACTTGTATTTAAGTAAATTGCTGTCTAAACTTTTTAAATATGATACAAAGAAACGAATCTAGATGCTGCTAGAGCGTAATTTTCTTATGTTTCAAGTAATTTCGTCGAATTTATTTAAAAAACATATAACAGCATTTTTTTTTCGATTAATTTGCCAT